AAAATAATTTTTACTCTTTTTGTTAGAAAAAATACTAAACAAACTTGAAATCATGGTCAGATTTTTGGTATTGTCCCAAAAAAAAGTCAGGATTTTTTGTAGATGATCTGATCAATTGAACAACAAAAACCCGACAAAATTCATAAATATTGGACCCCTCACCCGCAACCATCCACACTTGATCACTCAGCTTACCTTTTTGCAACTTTTTTTTCTTTTGAATTTTTATCAAAAAGAGAATGGACTGCTTTTTGGTTTTCTCTTTTACAAAAAGTTGTTGCCAATCACCAACTTTTTAAAAAGTATGATTCCATCTAGAAGTTTAAAGTTAATCTTTGATATTCTTATTTTTTATCCCTATACTGTACTTGTTAAAAATAAAAAGTTGTTGTCCTTTTTAATGTGGCTAAATAGTAGTAATAAGGACAGCGTTTAGGAATATCATATTATATTCCTGATAGAAGTTTATCTATTTTTTTCCCCTGTTTTGGGTGCATTTTGGACTATTAAAATTAAGCTTTTCCACTTCTTAATTTAAACTGAAATCTCCAACAACTTGCTCTGATTTAATGATATAAATCTTGAATTAAGATTATTTACTTCTTATAGATGATATGTTTAAACCTTAAGAAATTTTTTTTTTTACTTAATATATATAAATAATTTTATATTTATTCAAAAAAAATTTAAACTTTGAAATCTCAAAGATAAAACTCTTAACAATTAGATCTTTGAGGATTGATAAAAAATTAAATATCAATTTTAATCCCTCAATTTTAAAGTTTTATATAATATTTGTTTCTCAATTTTTGTAAATACTTTTTTAACTCTTAATTATAAAAAAATATTTTTTTAAAATTTTTTATCAGTTAATTTATTAATTTAAATATATGCTTTTAATTTTTTAATTTTTTAATATATATTTTTTATTCCTTAACTTTAATTTATATTAAAAGACAATATATGTGTCCAGCACCAAGTAAACTAATGACCACTGGCTTGATAGAAAGTGTTCCAACGTCAAGTCTTGGGTTTGGA